TGACTCTGTCTCCTCTAAGTGTGGTGGAGATACACCCGAAGGAGACACCGAAGAAGACCTAAACATTGACGGTGTTATCTCTGCCTTGCTGGAGCGCAGCAGCGCAGCAGCAGCAGCATCTGCTGCTGCTGCTCCTCCTCCAGCAGCAGCAGCAGCAGCAGCAGCAGCATCACCGCAACCAGCAGCAGCAGCAGCAGCAACAGCAGCAGCAGCAGCAGCAGCAGCAGCAGGAAAGGAGAAGCAAGAGTTTGGTGATATAGAGCCCCTAACAGACGAGCAGCTGCTGCAGCAGCTGCGGCTGCAGCTGCTAGCTACCCGGTACCTGCAGCAGGGGCTGCTGCCTCCTCCTCTGCTGCTGCATGCAGTTGCTGCTGCTCTGCCGCAGCAGCTGCGAGAGGAGATGATGGCGAGGCCTGCTGTTATGCTTCAGCTGTCTAGACACCTCAGAGTCAACACCAGGGAACATATACTGCAGCAGCTAGAAGCCAGAAAACAACTCATAGAGTACACATACACTGTCTCCTTTTTTCTCCTGTCTCCTTCTTCTGTCTCCTCTTCTGTCTCCTTCTGTCTCCCTCTCTCTCTTTTTCTGTCTCCTTCTGTCTCCTCTTCTGCCTCCTTCTGTCTCCTTCGGTCCCCCCTTCTGTCTCCTTTTTTCTCTTGTTCCCTTCTGTCTCCTCTTCTGTCTCCTGTCTCCTTCTGTTTCCTTCTGTCTCCTCTGCTGTCTCCTCTTCTGTCTCCTCTTCTGTCTCCATCTGTCTCCTCCTGTGTCTGCCCCCGTGTCTTCTTTTTTCTGGCTCTTATCCTGCATGCAGTTGCATGGGTGCATGCATGCATGCATGCATGCACTGTATATATATGCATGCATGCATGCATGCACTGTATATACACATCGGCGCCGTAAAAGCCCCAACTGCGCCTGATGGATGCTGCTGGGGTGTTTCCACTGCTGTCCTGCTGCTGCTGCTGCTGCTACTGATACTACTAACACTGCTGCTGCTGCTACTGCTGCTGCTGCTGCTGCTGCTGCTACTGCTGCAGCTGCTATTGCTGCTGCTACCTGTGTGTTATCTTCTTTTGTTTCTCTTCTTTCGTCTGTCCCCTTACGTGTGTCTCCTTTTCTCTGTCTCCTGCTGCCGCTGCTGCCGCTGCTGCTGCTGCCGCTGCTGATGCTGCTGCTGCTGCTGCTGCTGCTGCTGCTGCTGCTGCTGCTGCTGGTTGGGGTGTATGTACAGCTGCGTGCTGAGCGAGGAC